TAGGTATTTACAGATTACAACCGAACAATTCAGTATGGAATCCGGAATGGATAGTGGTACAGTGCTACACTTACATTGCAACTGATATGCAATGAAGACATTCATTACATGGTTTAACTAAAATGTGGTTGAGAGGTAGTCCAATAGTTACACTGCTGTTCACGGTGAAGGCCCATTTGGGAACAACATGTACTGAATCATTTTTTGACCCCATCAATATTGCTAAAAGACTCACTCACTCACTCACCCAGCCACTCATTCACTCACTCGATCCAAATGGGATCTAATGACAGACAAAGATGGGTATTTAACCACTACGGTTTTACGGTGGGATTTCAGTACAGGCTTCTTCAAATACGGTAACCTCACGGTTGCAATCATTCTCTTCCCACAGAGGTTACTCCTGTCATATCTTCCTACATAACCTCTGTTCTAATACGACCCTTTCTTGGTGTCAGCGTTCAAGGCTCGTGATTGGAGACAAGCCGATTTAGTTGTGCAATCAGCGACGTTGTTTCAAAAGTGATCATTCGCAAGGCCTCGGTAATTTCCGTATGCTTCGGGAAAACTAGAACCTCTTCCCGAGCGCGATGCGCAAACGTTTCTTCTAGACAGAACTCAGTCATGTAATGGCGTATCAATGGCGTCTCCATCGCCCTCGTTGGCAACGGACAAGCTAGCCATTAAACGTCTTGTGTGTAACATCAACACAATTCCCCGGCAGATGGGGGATATTTGTGGCCCCGCATTTGCTTGTGTTAGTCAAATTGAATCTAAGTCGATGTAACACGTGTTCTGATTGGATAGAAAGAAGGGAGATAATTCGTGTTGCGATCTTTTGCCGCTAGGGGATTTTACGAGGACCGGGAAATATGGCCGTATTAGAACAGAGGTTATGTAGGAAGATATGACAGGAGTAACCTCTGTGGGAAGAGAATGGGTTGCAATACCTGACAGCCTCATCTTCAAATAACGTAAGCAGCTGTCAGCGTGAGGAATCTTACTTGCCTGTCTCATGTCTCATCTGTCGGAGTAAATATAAAGTAATCATGAGATACGATAAGACATCCGGAATCTAGACCATCAGAATAAGCATTTCATCGATTGCAGTGTACTTCCATAACGAAATGCGGAAGAAGTTTCTCTTGTTTTTAGAAAATCTGCAACAACATGTAATCATTGAATGCGATAACTATCTTACACCAATAACATTGATTAAGTGACTCTACTATTTGGGAAGTTACTCCTATGTCTGTGTTTATGATTTCGGCATCTGCTGATAGCATCAACAAGTTTGATTTGGTTTTACGTATTTATGATACATACGGACGATGTTACGAGAAACGAATGTAGCGAGCTATCACTGATGTAAAGACTCCTGGTGTTCCAGGATAGTAGAGCATACACAATGAAGAATGTTTATAATGAACAAGCTTAAAACCAACTGACGGGTATAACAAACCAGTTTGGTCCCACTGGCAATATCTTATTCGGAATGCGAATAACGAATGACAGTTTTCACGAAAACAAACATTAGTAATCCCAATACATTTCGGCAAATTCACCAAATGAATAATATAATTTCCTTTAATTGTCGATAGCTTCAAAGTTATTTGAAACTGAATGGATATAAAAAACATATGTGTCCATCCCGTTCATCTTTGAAATTCTTATTCTTATATCAAACATCTTATCATTGATATTTGTGATCCTTTGACTGTTCTGTCCTATTAGATTCAATTATAGATACGGTAGAAACTGCTCCAAGAAACAGCAATTTGATATAGAATGTTATTTTGGGACACTACTAAGTAATATTGCATGTCAGTGATCGTCCTCAAAGGAATATAATTCTGTAACCTTGTGGCTGCTGAAGAAAATGTTGTCATCCCTACCACATTGCTGGTGGCAGATTGATGATACAATATGAAGTTCTCACACTTTTTTATCTCGGAGATCAAGAAAATGCGGCGCAAGAAAATATCAAGAAATTAGAAAACAAATCTGTGTCCTTTGAAGTGAAGTGTAGTGGATGAAACAATTACTTAGTTCTTAGGGGTATGTACTTTTCATTTTTCATAATTATATTGCGTGTCGTTTTTTTTGTAGCTTTTTAAGCCTATTGATGTCGATTTCAATTAATATATGATTGATGTGACGTGCACATCTGGAACTTTTTTTTATTATATCCTTTATGCATTGTACTTTCAGTAAATGTTGCGGGTGAATTTCGGGGCATAATGCTTTACATTTTGGATTTGTTTTAAATTGTTCATTTGTTTATTAAAAGAACTCCCGGCTGTGTTGTAAAACAAACCTATTTCCAAAACATTTTACTTTACTTGTAAGCAGCGCAGTCTCTGCACTTCTACGCTGCAGTCACAATTATCCAAATAGGTGTTTCGGTCCACTGATCACTTGATTATATGTTTTGTTTACAAACAGGAGTACTTGAATGAACTGTGCTACCGATAGGGCATGCTTACCCTTTTCGAAAATACCCGGCGTCATCACTGGTTTTCAGTGAGCTATTCATATAAATGTCACAGATTGATTTCTTTATATACTACTCACACTTTGCTAAGGATCACACAAAAATCGCAACTTTACTTAAACGTAGATTTATAATTTGAAATTTTATCAATTTAAAACTGGATAAATAATGATATGATAACACATCTTTAGGAAAACAGCCACTTGAAGCTAACCGTATGCACTTCATACATGAGAAACCATAAAAATGGTTTTCATTTTTGCAAAACATGGCACGGGTCATTGATAAGTACACAACACCTGTTAATAGCAGGTATGGGGTCCACCAGATGAAATGGCATACTGAAAACTTGGATCCATGCTTACAATAGGTTTAGATATTTAAGCCAAATTTGACTAGACATCATGGTTTTAGTTGAATCAATGATTTGATCATTATCAAAGTGTGAATAGTATACTAAAAGGATCTCTTGGATAGTCAAGCGTGAGTGAGAGAGTTTAGTTTTACGCCGCACTCAGCAATATTCCAGCTGTATGGCAGCGGTCTGTAAATAATCGAGTCTGGACCAGACAATCCAGTGATCAACAGCATGAGCATCGATCTGCGCAATTGGGAACAGGATAGTCAACACAAGGGCTCCTTTGCACTGACGTTTTGTATTGTCTAACACATTACATGGCAATAATCAGATTATCATAGACAATATGTAAACAACCGAGTATGGACCACGTAAACAAGTGATTGACGTCCTGACCTGTCATACACGTTTGCTAAAACTGTCGAAGTATTTGACCATGTTTGCATGCTACCATATCAGACCTCATACGTTAAACTGTTTCTCTCAATGAGTTCAAAAGCATTGCAATACTTATGATGTCTCTCAAAGAAGTAATTGAAAGTTTACTACCAGGTCTCTCCAGTATGGAAGACGCTGATGAAAATAGATTGGCTTCAGTCACACATTATAGTGTCGAACTTAAAGATTCGAAGCCGCACTCTCAGAGTTAGACGCCTAACTTTGTGTGCTGGCGATTAGGAACCTGGCTCTAAAGGGTGTGGGTTTGAATCCTGGATGGAACTCAACCCAACAAAATGCGAGAATCTGTACGAGAAAGCATAATCACAAATATACTCTTGGAAACCAAAAACGGAACACATGAAAGTGAAAGTGTTTCTTTATTCCTTTCCCGGTTTCTTCACAAGGTATGTGTTGCACTGTGGGTGAAATTCGGAAAGTAAACAAAGGAATTCGAACACTTGTACTTTCATATTTTCCCTTATTCGTTTCCATGAGTATATAACATGTGCTACATCAATAAGAAAGACTTTTACATTTGTGATTTAGGAACGAACTCCACCCACACATAAACCTTTCAAGAACTATGTGTCTGGAAGATCGTATTCATTCATTAAGCCTTAGGTTAGTATGAAATCATGAGAATGTCACGTGTTGTATTGATATTAGGCTGTCTCCCACCTCCCTGATTTTTCAATCCTACGTGAAATAATTGGGTTTCTCAGTTTTCCCCGCGCTGTGGAAATAAATGTCCGAAGGCGATGAAACAGATACAGTTCCATTACAGTCTCACGAAAACAGTGGGTCTTTAAACATTTCCCATCTACATCTCATAAAAAATGTCTCCGAGCAAAGCCAATCGGTCTACATCCCACAATAACGTAAACACTATCACCAAGTGAGAAAATCTGTTGGAATGTGAAGATATTTATTACACAAGTAGGGAAAAACATCTTTTTTTATTTCTATGCTTTTCGTCCACTCTCTTACTGGTCCAGATTGGACATGGCCTCCACTACAAAGAACATAAAGATTGATTGACATGAGAAATGCATAAAGTAATACGGACGGCCTTACACAATGTCATGTTAAATATATTGATATTAATAACATGACATTTGAAACACTTTAACAAGAGCATAATGTGGCAATCGTTATGATACAGCCTGATACCTCAAATGATCATTAAGTAGAACTGATGGAAGTGGTATCTTAAGGAATGTTTGGTTAATAACATTAATTAAGGCAGTGATGCTGCTGTTTATCGATATCTGTTATTACTTGTCTGATGTTCATGTATATCATTAGATGGTGATTTGATTAATAAACTCTCTACCTCTACAACCTACTCATATTAAACGAGCATAAGCTTGACAGAATACTAATTTGCAGGAACATCCCAGTTTATGATGCAGAGCAGCATTTGTTAATATCATAATAGTGATAGTCATAATATTTGGCTTACTATACCAAACTACATCAAACTGTTTCCGATATACAGCAGGGTCAATAGCAGTGGAGATATGAAGCTCAGTTCCACAGAGTTTCTCATTTCAGTCACCCCATGACCTTATCCTGCTTTCATATAATGAACACGAAACTACGAAATAAAACAAATCTCTCTGACTGTCTATTAATCACACGTCTTTCTCTTATTACTCAGTCTGTTAATCAGATTTAATACTTCTGTCCTTCTACCGGGAGTCGTGATTGCAAGTTATGTTAGAAATGTTGCTAGCTTATACGTGTGTCATATCTGGTATTACATACTGGTTTCATGAAATTGGTTTAAATAAAATATAAGTTGACACCGGCACACATGGCTTGCCAGACGTGAATGACAAGATAAAAACACTACTTAGTGACGCTAGAAGCGTATTTGAGATCGTGACGGTTTGAGTCTCATGTGATACTATGCATCATTTCAGCGGTGCTCTTCCTATTTCCAGGAGGGATGAGCTTTGGTATCATCAAATTGGGTTTAATGTTGCGTTCAACATCATTGCTCTTATATAGCGGGCAGCACGCTATGTTTCTTGGAGTGAAACCGTCCCAAGATAACACCAGACTACATATTGATATAGTTGTTCAACGGTATCTAACTCTGAACGGTCTGCATGCAAGATCCTCTGATCCGTCACCATGTCTGGAAGGAAGGGAATGACGTTACGATGTCTTCCAAATCCTATTAACCTTCATACATTGAGGGCCGTTGGGGTAGCCTAGTGGTTAAAGTGTTGGCTCGTCACGCTGAAGACCCCGGTTCGATCCCCCTCATGGGTACTTTTTGTGAAGCCCATTTCTGGTGTCCCCCGTCGTGATATTGTTGGAAAATTGCTAAAAGCGGCGTAAAACCAAACTCAGTCAGTCACTCAGTAGTGGTTAAAGTGTTGGCTCGTCACGCTGAAGACCCCGGTTCGATCCCCCTCATGGGTACAATGTGTGAAGCCCATTTCTGGTGTCCCCCGTTGTGATATTGTTGGACAATTGCTAATAGCAGCGTTAAACCATACTCACCCACTCTCATACATAGAGTGCCGTTAACGTTCATTTGGCGTTTGGATGTTGTTTAGAGGCCTCAGTGAGGAGATACGTCTAACGAGGTTTTGCTCGTTTGTTTGTTGTTTAATGCCACCTCAGAAAGTCCAGCTTTATGATGATACCATGTAAATAATCGCGTCTGGTTCAGACAACCGAGTGATGGACATGATGAGCATATATCTACGCAGTTGGGATACGATGACATGCATCAGTTACGTAAGCGAGACTGACACCCGATCCCGGAGGTACCTCCTTACGGTAAGTTTGGGTTTGGGAAGATCGATTTAATCAAGATCTGTATGATGAACAGCACTCGCTTCTGTCTGAAACCCTTGTGTGAGAAGACCCATTTGTATAAGGCGGGAGCGCCCTTCACATGCACTGCTGTATGAACGTACTTTACGACACTACTTCATTCAATATAATTTCATTAAGGAAGTGAAGTTTTTTAACCGATTTCCTTGTCACAGTACATTTTGGTTTTGAGTAGATACCTTTGGTATTGAGTATTCCACTGTGGCTGAGTCTAATCATGCAAACCCTTTATGACTTAATACTATCTCCTCAAGTCCTCTGGGATATTCCCTCGGTACACCAATCATCTCTCTCAGTGCCGCGAATTCCACGCGGAATAGAAATACCAGACAACATATTCCACTTAAGTGGGAATAAATCAAACATGCGCAAATAGTATATTCTAAGAGTCCCTATTGGGGAACAGATCACACTATCAGTGCGACCAGTTGAAGTACATTTGTGATATATGACACCGAACAATTCTGATAGTTTGCAGTAGAAATAATTGTGTATGAAACCAATACCAACGCGTCTCACAGTCATGTATGTTCGTATTACTTCTTATACGTTTATAGATACAGTAATAGTTTTAACTGACACGAGGACTTTTCGAAATAGAATCTTTCATGATGACAAGGTGTGTACGTTTGTAAAAATATGAATGTCTGTATTGTTGCTTTTGAAGGTGACCGTACGGTCAGTGATGTGAACATAATACCTAAGATGTCAGCGTTTTAAGCCTTGGGCGCTTTCTGAAGACGTCTGAAGAAATTATAATTATGAGTTTCGAACGGGCGTTGTTTCATAAGTTCCCTATGTGTGTCTATTACTTATAGTGAGTGTGGATCGTTCATGCAAATCGAGGAAATCTGTCACATTTTCATTTTACTTTTCAAAACAGAAGAAGCTTTGTGGTTTTATTCACTTCGGAGCTAGAATCCTATCAAAAGCAGCATATTAACAGCACAATTTTAGCTAAGGAAGTGCTATTTTTTAATTATATTTTAGTTTATCGTATTTTATGCCCTTATAGACATAATGACACCAGACAATATCGCTGTCGCAAAACTGGTTCCTTAAGGAAATAAGGACTTTAACTAGATTCGATACATACAACTACCTGTTCTATAGAGATTACTAAACGAGTGTCTGTCAGATACCATTTATCTAACAACGAGTTGTTTCAAAACGTATATACCTTTTGAAACAACGAGTTGTAAGATAAATGGTATCCGACAGACACGAGTACAGTAATCTGTTTCTTACACACCATAAAATCGCACCATTTTATGGTCGAATAGATGCAAATTTCATTTTTCTCATCGTAGGTGCGCAATAATACACAACACAACGTTTATGAATGAGTGACGTCACTTGGTTTCCGAAACACTACTCATCCCCATGGTGATAATGATAACTAGATAAGATCACAGAAAATTAATTAAACCCTCTCAAACGATGATGTTACCATGCAAATGTGGATGATTTTAATTCTTGCAAGCGTAAATATTTGAGCGTGTGACGTCATCGTTATCGCTTGGTGGTTGTCGTCATCGGAAGATTGTTTTGGATATCTCTGCACATTGGAGACCTGTACTTGTGTACCAGTTTACGTTCAATGTTCTTCCATCGACTGGAGCCAAAACTTTTGAGAGTGTGTAATTAGGTGCACCCAGTGTGCTTGAATGTGACATTGCTGAGGTTACGTTCACTATCAATGGGGGCCTACTCTTCTTCGCCACAGCCTTCTCGTTTTCCCGAGCCAGAAACTGTCACTTGGAATGTAATGGAATTTACGGAGTATGAAATGTGAGTTGATTACATCCTGTATATTATCAAGACATAAACGTTTCATTATCATGCGTCGGAGGAATGTCTTGAGCAATGACTTTTGTGTAGATCAACCGTTCCTGTACATGTTCGATTGAATAGAAAAGACGTGTGCCGCCATTTGCACTCATGAAGCCTTGCAAAACGTTCCATGTTGTACATTGTTTCAACGAGTGTGTTTTGGTTCTGATTGTCATGACTGAATTTGATAACATTGGAATCACATAGTATCTCGGAGCTGGAAGTGGGTCTTCATCATGTTTATCAGTGAAAAATGTCATCTTCATCAATGCATCAAAGAAACAACGAGGCAAATCGATCTCACAATGGACAGGCACTGGCGTTATCGTGTCAGGTATTTTTGCAAGACGACACATGACACTTGTCGCATCTCTCCAGTAAAAGTACCAATGTTGTACATTTTGAATATTCGAAGGGAATCCCGGGCTTAATCTCTAACGGTGATTTTCGCATAATTGTTTACACAGGTATCACTGATTGTTCGAGCCATTTTGAATTCATGACTAGAAATCAAAAGTTTTAATAAAAAGAATTAGAAAATAAATATATTCGTGTTATATTTATTCTGCTTGTGACTCATTGTATAGATACCTATTTATGTTGCAATCGCGACAATAACAGGTAGGTGTAAAGGGGTATTTTTTGCAAGAGTAACCGGTTTCTGTTCGATTGAAGCACGAGTAACTTATCAATGAATTTTAATCAGGAAAGTAGTCCGTCATAACCTGACCCTAGGTCATCACCATGGAGTAGCCAATCACGGGATTAGAAATCGATCTCACACATATGTGTGATACCAGTTTTTTCACATGGGTTTCTCACCCACGGGTGTGTAAGAAACTAGTTTTCTAAAGTGTATTAAGGAAATGTGAAAGTATGATGAATGATAAAAAAATATTCATGGCTCCTACTGTGATACGAGGGACACAACGTTTCGGACTGTATACTGCTGATCTCAGTAGAAGAGTGAGTGAGTTAGTTTAGTTTTACGCTGCACTCAGCAATATTCCAGCGATAAGGCGGCGGTGTGTAAATAATCGAGTCTGGACCAGACAATCCAGTGATCAACAGCATGAGCATCGATCTGCGCAATTGGGAACCGATGACATGTGTCAACCAAGTCAACGAGCCTGACCACCCGATCCCGTTAGTCGCCTCTTACGACAAGCATGGGTTACTGAAGATCAATATTCTAACCCGGACGACATTCACGGGCTGACGGTAGAACCTGGCTTGTCTGAGGTGAAAAAGAAACTAAACCTCTCTGTTGATATCATTACTTTCATTTACATTTTAAAATGTTTTTAAGGAAGCTCTTTTACATGCAAAGAAAGAAATATTGCACTGGCTTTAATCAGCACTCGAAAATACGTGCACATGTTTTTATTTTAAAAATGTTATTTGATCTAACTTTTAAAAACAAAACATAAAAATCCTGATTGGTATTTTAGACATCAATCTTCAAGATTAAGCAAGTTGGCGTTTTTTGGCACCAATTTACTCTCCAAAGTTGGTTGCAAATTATTTCTTACCTGTGTCTTCAACGAACACATTAACTGTTACACAAAATAACCAAGCCACTATTTTCTGCTGCAGGAATGAGCGACGGTTAACAAAACATAGTCAAAGTGAGCAGTACGACTTTCAGTGTTACAGTGTGTGTCGACTGAGCAACTGACTTAACTTTGCGCGTGTTAAGACGATGTTTGTTATGGTGATTGACTCGGTTTCTGATCCTAGTTCGCCCTGATTATGTTTTTGGTTTATAAGCACCACACTTTTTATCCTTGGTTTCATAGAAAGTGATAAATGTCTGAGACCTGCATCACGTTCCCCGTACATTTCCTGACACGCCGTGACATAATAAGATACATATTGTAAACCTGACAACATTTAACAAAATTAACAACATTTAACAAAAAAAATAACATAAACAAATATTAATAAAACATCCACCAAAAACACTTCTAAATAAGATAATAATCTCTTTCAAATGTGTGTGGATCATTATCAAAACGTTGTGATACCAGGTGTTCACAAAAAGCAAGTTCTTGAAAGGCATTTACAAGTTCTCATTCACCTGATAATGGAGCAAGAATTAGCTCTGAAAGGTCAACGTGATATAAAGATTAAAAAGAAGTTTGTTATCCATAAATCGTGTCATGTATTCGCGCACTGGCATTGTTTCTATGGTACAGCGACGGGATCTCCTGACAAAACACTGTAACATGTGGTGCAAGTCAATACAGCTACACCATTTGTTGCGTCACATTAGGAAATGCTCTCCACTTGTCTGAGTTACACCTAACACTCTTACTTGAGACTTTAGAAGACAGTTAACGATCTGAAGGGATGTGTTAGTATCGTTATGATGGAGCTTTAGTTTTATTGTACATTTGTCGAAAGCATATGCTACGTTGCTCGATAAGAAGTGTAAATAGACTGCAACAAACCAAATGGTATTGTATCTGGAGATGTTATCAGTCAGTTACAGTATTGTGCTAATAATTTATGTCATCGCTTTAAGCAATATGCCAGCAACATCAGAAAATATCTTCATACCCATGGTTAGATTGAACCCGGGTCTTCGGCGTGACGAGTGAACGTCTGGGCTGCAACGCTGCTTGAAAGGCATGAAATGATCTTAACGGATATCGCGTAGATGGCATAAAGTGTTGAGCTCGGCATATCTAACTTGGTTCTGTCTCTGGTGTCAACTTTCGTGCTTCAGTCCAGTACATTCTGACAACTGACTTCGAGTCTGAGGTGCCATACTCCGAATAATTGAAATGGACAAAAACAATTACAGATCAGAAATGAACTATTCACCATAGAAGCTAAATCACCAAAGAATACTGACGAATGACGGTATGCTGTTTGCAAAGCTGCTCCTTCATATGTCACAGTTAAACACAAGGTGACTTCCTGTGTGGAAGGGAGGGTTTGGAAGCAACAAATAACCTGCTACTACACCAGGGGCATTATGCTTCATGGTTGAGATCACCTTCTTCTAGTATGGATCAATAGATACAACCTGTCATGAACATCTACATATATGTCAACCGCCTCCGTGGTGTAGTGGTTAGAGCGTCCGCCCGGAGAGCGGAAGTTCGCGGGTTCGATCCCCTGCGTCATACCAAAAGACGTTAAAATATGGTACTTGTTGGTCCCTGCCTGGCGCTCGGCATTAATGGGTACAACAAGGAATGGTCGGCTCGGAGTCAGTATAATGTGTCTGAGTGGGGTATTCATGCTTAACTGCGGCGTGGTATCTCAGTGGGCTAGCACTATAAAACCAGCTTAAGTCTGGGCTAGTACAAGCAGCCGCACATACACATACACACGCATGCACGTCGTCATATGAGCGAAATATTCTCAAGCACGACGCTAAACCCAATTTCACCTCACCCACCTCACATATATGTCAACGGTTGTGCTACATGGATGCTTGCGGATGAAAGCAACGCAGATGACCTATAACTGGTTAACCAAGTGTAAATGTAATCAGCTCATCGGTAGAACAATTATGTTCTATCACCCCATGAGAACATTCAAATGTACGGACTTCCTATAAAACAATATTCAGCATTTTTCATTGGTCGCTATATGGGTGAAATGATGCCTATGCGACGTAAAATTTAACAAACTCACTCAGTTAAGTACTGTTTCGTCGATTGTTGTCAGTCTGATGTCCTGATATCGTTGGTAGGTATTTGGTCAAATCCAACTATCAAGTCTACTAGTTTGCCCCACTGTATTTATCACATTCATCTGTTTCGTGCCGGTAAACCTTTCAAGGGGCGGTGGGTAGCCTAGTGGTTACAAGTTGGCTCGTCACGCCGAAGACCCTGTCGATATATGGGCACATTAAGCCCATTTCTGGTGTCCCCGCCGTTGCTGGAATATTGCTAAAAGCGGCGTAAAACTAAACTTTCAGGATAACTATACGAGATCATATATGATCATGGGTGTGATCATTTGTGCCAGAATAATCCCT